AAGTTTATTATCCCACTACACAAACCCCTTTAGTTTCATATCTGTTTACTACAAAAAAACCTGGTTAGACGTCTTACAAGCAAAGGAAAAAAATCTGGTCATATAACGCCATAAGGCAGTTGGGGCTCGTCAGTAATATGCTGACTGAAATAGACAACTGAAGTTTTTTTGAAGAATGTGTACAAAGAAACAAAGCTCTTCCTAAAACTGCAAATGGACAGATATATCTACCAATGTTTAACATAATATACTAGTTAGGATGGTTAAACAGGTTTATGTATATCATTTTCAAGTTGACTAGTGATGTTTGCTCAGACAAATAATAAGTTACCTGCTTTTGGGATTTTGATATATATTTACCAATTTGGCTAATCCTATAGAGAAAGCTATATCGGGCGTACTACTAGGCAGCCTGGCCAGCGAGTAAGTGAACGTCCCCCTACGTAGTTTGGATAGGGTCGAACAGTCAATAGGCAGCTTCTTTTATCACGCTTGCTTGACGGTTTTCATATTACAGATAAAACTAAACCATTCTGAGCTGTAGAGATTTAGGCTTACAACCTTGGTCACTGTGTTTTAACACCCCTACCCCCTCCGCCAGATAAGAATTAGTAGACGAGCCTACTAATTATTCACACTTTATGTTTATTTTTCACCATCACTTTCATACTTCTTTATTTAAACTGATCACTTACACAATTATTACGTAATTTTCAAAGTGTTATTTCACCAGGTTTTATTTCCCAGCCCCCGAATGCCCTGGTACGGCCGAGAGTGGGGTGAGTCCGTTCTCCCTCTCGAAATACTCTCACACGGCCGCGCGTATACAGCCTCTGCCAGGGAAGTCCTACTCATTGCCTTCTCGTGGCGGGGGTGTTGTTTACGAAAATGAGAGGACGAAAAGCGAATGTCCGGCGCTTTAACCGGATCACAAACCAATGGTGCACATGGGCTCCAGTATCCTGCGGGAACAAATGGCGTATGAACCAACCGTTGGTCACCGGCTGCTATGGGATTGCATCTCCTTACGATGCTCCACTGCCTTGTGGGTTAGACCTTTAGGTCAAAGGCTCGGGGAGTGGCCCCCTAAGATAACCACCTGCTTCGGTCTGGGCACCCTGGCAGTATCACAGCCCACACACAAACGATGAACTCTATGTCTATGACAACTACTTTTCTCGCTCCGAAAAACAATCAGTCGATTCAGATAATTATCATTACTATTATTGTCATTATTAATACTATTATTATTACTATTATTGTCATTATTATTATTATTATTATTACTATTATTATTATCATTATTTTCCACATTATTCACCCTCTTTTATACTTATACAGCGGCTCATCTTTAGTGGAAATTCGACTGTATCTAAACGTTCTCGAGTCACTGTCCGGTTGAAAATTGTATGTTACCATCGAATATGAGTACTGAAGCAGTTTTTCTGAAACCACGTGCGCCATTCAAACTGGCTGCCTTCAACGTTCGCACACTTATGCATGTTGGTCAACAGATAGGGCTGGCTAGGTCTTTGGAAAGTCTTAATATTGATGTTCGTTGTCTATCCGAGACCCGTATTCAAGACTCTAGCGAAGTACTACAAATTCGCTCTACATCTGTCACTTCAAAAAGCTTGTTTTACGTGCGCTTATCCGAGGACCCTGTGTCATCTTCTTCTGGTCTTGCAGGCGTTGGTGTCGCACTAAGCGCTCGAGCTGAGGCAGCACTAGTCGATTGGATCCCCATTAACAGTCGGTTATGTGCTGTTAGATTAGAAAGTTCCATCAAAGTGAGAAGAAATCGGCGTGAGAAACGATGTCTTTTCGTCATCTCCGCCTATGCCCCGACAGATTGCAGCCCGGATGCAATCAAGGATGAGTTTTACCACCAGTTATCAGTTCTTCTCCAGAAAGTGCGTTCGACAGATATGGTAGTACTAGCCGGAGACTTGAATGCTCAGGTCGGGCGTCTAGGCACAGAAGAGAGTCGTTTAGGTGGCCGATGGGGACTCGTTGGTCGCAGGTCAGATAACGGGGACCGTCTACTACAACTGTGCACAGACCACAACCTGTTTCTGGCTAGCACTAACTTTCGGCACAGTCATCGCCGATGTGCCACCTGGCGTCCTCCCTCTGCATCCCAAGCCTGGACTCAGATTGATCACATCGCGATCAGCTACCGCTGGCGCGGTTGTGTAAAAGACTGCCGCTCCTTTTGGAGTACCTATCTGGACTCTGACCATGCCTTGGTCTGCGCCAATCTTGCCTTACTTTTCAGTGGCCAACGAAGTGACCGCCAGCAAAGGATTGATATTGGCAAGCTGGTTGCAACTTCTGTTGCAAATAAGTATCGAACCGAGCTAGCCTCTAGGCTAGCTACCACTCCACCGAAAAGTATAGATGAGCATTGGTTGCAATTGCATGACGCCATGAAAATGGCGGGAACAGTCAGTTGTGGGTTTGCGAAACGTCCCGCTTACTGTGCGATAATGCTCAAGGCATGCAATCCGCACTTAATCAGTTGGCAATCAGTGTCCGTAGGTATGGTATGTGCTTTGCACCTTCGAAGTGCAAAGTGCTTCTACAAGACTGGCAGGATTCCAATCCTGTACTCGCCCTGGATGGTGAGCAGATAGACGTAGTCGAGAAGTTCGTGTATCTGGGTAGCTGCATAAGTGCTGGTGGGGGTGTGAGTGATGAGATCAATGCACGTATAGTGAAAGCCAGAGCGGCTTATGCCAATCTGGGCCATCTATGCCGCCTTCGTGATGTTAGTCTGGCTGTAAAAGGTCGGATCTACAACGCGTCGGTGAGAGCAGTTTTGCTCTATGCTTGTGAAACCTGGCCTCTCCGAGTTGAGGACGTTAGACGACTCTCTGTGTTCGATCATCGCTGTCCCCGAAGGATTGCTGACATTTAGTGCCAACACCATGTCAGTAATGCAGAGGTTCGGCATCGTGTGTTCGGGCACAGAGATAATAATTCAATTGGTGTTACCATCTTGAAACACCGACTTCGGTGGCTTGGACATGTTCTCCGAATGTCGTCCCAGAGAATTCCACGTCGTGCATTATTTGCCGACTCTGGGACTGGTTGGAAGAAGCGGAGAGGTGGTCAGTGCATGACACGGTGTCGTGGCATGAAAGAAAGCTGCAAAGGACTGGCTCGTGTTGGTCCTTGACGACTCCCTGGCTGGGGTCTGAGAGATGGTATAACACAGTGGCTAGAGACGTTATCAGATATGGCTGAGAAGAGAAGCCAATGGCGATCTTGCTGTAACCTTCTTTTACTTTCTTCATAGAAAGTGGTTGTGTCTCCTTTACCTGAAAGATTTCTTCCGATTGTACCTTTGCGTTCCCTGATTACTAGCACATTACCTTACACCAATCTCTTCGTTATTGTTCTCTCTTTTTTTTTGTTGCGCTCCTTAGCTTTTTTTTTCTTTATTTGTATTCCTCTCGAAATTTCATTGTTTTGTGTGGCGCATATATATTGGCGCTCTCTTGTACCAATATTCATGTGTCCAAATAAATGAATAATAAATAAACCCCAGTTTTACCCTATTTTCTATAGTGAAATACTTATTCAAACTTTTATTACTTTGATCACTAAATACTAAGTGAATGATACGATACAATTGGCTGTTACTGTTGACTGAAAAAGTAACAGATCAGTAGAAATTACTTGAACCTTTCAAATTGAAAACTCATCGATAAATATAACGCAACCATTGTATTGGTAAATATTTATTTCTATTATGTTTCAATAAAAGTTACTGACCTAGATAGAGTGAATGCATATCGATCTTTTATTCAAAGTAAATATGAAAGAGATCAGCATTATTGGTTTAAGTAAATGATGATGAACTCAATCTACAATAAGGTTAGCTGTTTGAATACCAGTGTCATCAATATTCACATATTTACTGAAACAACAATAGAGCCAGCAGTCAGTATCCAGGTTTACGTATTTACTATACATAACATAAATGTTTACAGTAGCGTATCCGTTCCACATTGTCAAGATAAATTATAAGTTAGCTCTGACATTTTTGATGTTGTAAAATCAATAGTAGGTATAAAAAATGAACCCTATCGGCAACAAATGTTACACATTCTTCAAATAACTAGCACACCATATGCGACGAGCTATTAATATATTTTAAGGATCGTGCTATAAATGATAATCCTATTATAGTTTCTAATTATAATTATTGTGACGTTAAAAATAATTTGATAACAGAGAGAGGCTATTAATGTGTAGTTTGTGAACCCTCATTATCCAATGACCTCAACTTATATGCAAATCTACATGTGTGTAAACTGAATTGATAAAGTTGGAGAAGATTTTGTGAACAAAAAGATTCAGAGCTAACAGACATAAGACTTATAGAAATGAGGGACTAACAAGAACAGTAGCAACGGATCCATTGAAGTAATTTGTAAAGACTTAAAACTTTATCAAGAATTGCTTTCAGTTTTAAGTCTACATCTTATAAAATACAATGCATAATAAAAGCGTTATCATTTCAATGACTGGAAATAATGAAAGTGTCAGACCTATAGTCCCCTGTTGTAATGGTTAACAGTCAGTGACGTTACTTTAAATAGCTATGAATTCAGAGCATACTGAGTTTTTACAGTCTGAAGAAAAATATTTTCAATTGAACGACGATCATCGGAAGCCACTGAGCAGTATAAATTCCTTACGTCATTATTTGGGAACTGATGTCCATTACTGACACCAGATAATAGACGTGATCAATCACAAGACTAAGTTTGGAAAAGTGAAGTATATAAGCCCGATTAGCGATTAAATGATAGTGCGCTAGCCACATGACATACATGTCTTAGGTTCTGTGTCATATTGGAATAGATAGCGTAGATTATATACAGTAGTAGCAACCAGTAGGTATTCTTTTTCCCAACAACTGATTATTTCATATGATTCCGAAAGTAAACCCATTATACGGAGAAAACGTTAAGACAGAAAATCCTCAATTCTTCTACTGAATCTAAACATTTATTTCATATCACAGTGAAATCAAGTTATTAAGCAGCCCATAGAGAGCAAAAAAATGTAATCCCTTTACAAAAAAAAGACAATATACAAGAGAATACCAAGAAATTATGAAACTAATGGATCTTTAGATGAAGATAATACACGGTTCTCATCATATAAATCATCTTCATCATTACGATTGTCATTATTCACAAAATTGAGAAGACCATGTTTGGCATCATCAACATCTTTATCATCACTACCAACAACAACCACACTAGTAAAATAATTATCATTTCGATTAAAATTCATTGATCCTTTAGATTTTTGTTCATGTTCTATATGTCGAACAGCTGCATAAACTGCTGATCCGCCTAAAACAACAATATTACTAAGCCACCATGAAATTGATTTGATTTCGTGATAAATTATCACAGCTAGTACTGTCTGTGCAGCTGCCTTAGCAGTACCAGAAACATTATGAGTTAATGGACTGGTCACTTGAATTTGTAGTGTACTGATGTAACCAATAGCAAATCCAAATATTCCACTAATTACCATAATAAACCAGAAATAAGCACTAGAAAAATATAGTAAACAGGTTGTGAAAAAAATCGCTGATTAATATTGTTATGATATTTAAGAAAAAAATGAAAATGACAATGATAATTCCAAAGCAGACTTAATAATTTAGACTAAATTAAAGTAAAATCATAGTGTATAATGAAATAGTGGCAAAGATTTGTAGCTCAGGTGGATGGTTTAGGTGGAGTATTGTTCTCTGAGCTGGATGATTTGGTTGTGAGGCTTTCACTGTTCTCCTGAACATCATCAGCACAAACTTCAGGTAGAAGTGAATCGTTCGGATTTCTCCACGTATAACTTCGCTTGTCTTGTCGATCTTGATTTTGAACAGTTATCGTTGACCTTTAGCCTGTCATTGTCTACTTTATTCTGGTTGTATCAACCTTTGACTTGATTCTTGGTCCTGTATTTGTCCATGATTTTCCTGATTGGTTGATAGGTTGAATCGATTTCAATGTTTGTCGATTGCTAATCTCTTTGTTGGTTTCCGAACTTGATTTCATTTCTGTTGACGAGTTGAGCTGATATTTTTCGATGAAGTTGCGTGTATAGCCATCTATTTGGAGGAGGCGAAATCAAGTACAGAAACCAACAAATGGATCATCCTGTTATATATAAAATACATATCAGAAACTACAACACGATTGGTGAAGCCGTTTAAAATAAGTGCAGCACAAAAACTAGCAAAACCATATTAATCAATCCCACGCCAATCAAAGGACAAAATGACAAAAGAAGAAAAATCGAACATCATCTACAAAGTAAACTGCTCCAATTTTGAAAGACACTACATTGGACAAAGTGAACACCTCCTTCATCTTCACCCGCACGAACATCAATTAGCGGCCAAACGTCGTGACATAGCATATAGACAACTGAGAACACACGTCCATCTGGAAAAATCTTGAAATCTTCAAAGAGGGAATGCTAAGAACAGCTGGGAATTTTTAAAATCTTGGCACTCAGGTTAATCAGCAATCGACAAACATTGAAATCGATTCAACCTATCAACCAATCAGGAAAATCATGGACAAATACAGGACCAAGAATCAAGTCAAAGGTTGATACAACCAGAATAAAGTAGACAATGACAGGCTAAAGGTCAACGATAACTGTTCAAAATCAAGATCGACAAGACAAGCGAAGTTATACGTGGAGAAATCCGAACGATTCACTTCTACCTGAAGTTTGTGCTGATGATGTTCAGGAGAACAGTGAAAGCCTCACAACCAAATCATCCAGCTCAGAGAACAATACTCCACCTAAAATAAGAATAAAACAAATAAAGTAAGCATTTAAATATAAGCGGATTGATTAGGTTCATTAGATACTGGCTGGGCAGTTCAAAAGTTTAGAGCTTCCAAAGAGACCAGATGAAGGTCCTGACTTAAATACTCCTTGGGGTAGTGGATCCATACTGGAAAAGCGACGCATACAAGGACCAAGCAGATGTTCAGTTGCCTTTTTTATTTTCAACGGTTATATAACTAAGGCTAGTTCGTGATGCTTATTATACAGTTAGATTCAGTCGATCAACCAAAAACAAAAAAGAATAGAACACGTTTACCATACGTCACTGATAATAGTTAGAGGTAAGGAAGCACGCTTGGTCACTTAAATCTAAAATTTAATTGACTAATAAGCGACCCAAAAGAATTGTGCCTCTTGAAATCACGCAGGTTTGTAAACCATGTTTATTGTTGTATTAAATATTTCAAAATTAATTCTATCGCGTCTTGCTAAAGGAAAAATGGTAATAACAAAAACAATTTACTGACCAGTTGTTTTGTCCTTTTACTGTTTGTTTGTTTATTTACGGGGTTATGTTAACAATTTAGGATCTCATGTGTAAGCTTCAATCAGTCACTTTACATTCATATATCCATCTAAGCGACCGATCACGCGTTCATAAATAAATAAAGGATTTGTAATATTTATTCTCGGAAGAAGTGGCTTGCACTAAGTCACGAAACGTCAAAAAATCTAATTTTTTGCTCATTGGGATATTAGAAATATATTATTTATTTATAATAATCTATCCAATGCTCAAATTATTCGAAATTATCAAGTCAAACTTTAGTGATGATGCCTATAAATAAAGGATTTTTCAGTTATAACACTTCTTTGTAGTTGTATATCGATTTCACTCAAGACTTGTCAAGTGCTGAGTGAAACACCAATTACTGTTAGACCGAACAAAATAGGTATAGCATTTATCTACTTAAACAAACCTGTTCATAATATGATGTAGGATGACGGGTAAATATACATTATTACTATCAATACCACATACTAGTTGTGCATAAAATGATTATAAAGCTCGATAGAATGATGCTTAGTGTGCATCATTGCTAACATTAAATTATTCACAGTAAATTCGAGTTTGATTAGCAAAATCAACATCAATCAAGATCCAAAGTATATTTTAACTATTAGACATTATTATAATGTATTATAAGAAATGTTACTTGTCAGTGTGTGAAACAGATTATATCCATGCCTATTTACATGGTTATATTTTTCGGATTGATTTTATTCCTCTTCATAACTCTAATAAATCTATAATAAAGTAGTGTTAGTACTTTTTCATGATTTACAATATGGTGAAATTGTCATCAAATGATTAGATACTTGTTTACTTCCTCCCACTTCGCTCCACTTCAACTCCTCTCCTCACATTAACAATTATTATCAAAATTTATGCAAATTTAATAGCTATCTACACTTTTTAGGAATCCATACATATGTAATAAGCAAATTTTTATGCATTAGGCTTACAAAGGAAAATAAAATGAGTGGATTTGTAATGAGTCGCAACCTTCTGCCTACAGACAGAATTTGGTCGTTACTAAATGACTAGACAAACATAACAATGATAACTACTCAGTAATCGACTGACTGTAAATATCTCAGTCCTATAAATCAGCCACTGTTCGAATAAATCAGTGATAACATCTCAGACTAAGAAACTAAGTAATGCATGTTCTAACCCCACAGGAAGCATTAGTTCCCTTAAAATTCCAGGTACATTGTTCTGATGTGTATCAACTAGCACGAAACTTAGGTCAAGCAGGGCTTTCTGGTGACTAGTCCCAACCACTTGAGTTATCCAGAACTTATTGGTTTTTAATAGTTCTTCGATTGATAACAGTATGTTGCAAAAACCACTACTGTAACCCTACTTTAGGTTTCCTATTAAATTGTGATTTCAAGCGCTAATAAGTTATCTCTGAACTGTATGTCGGAAATACATTAATAAATGATCGAATTCCATTAGAAAATAAACAAGCTCACAGAGTGTAGTGAAATGTGATTGTCGTAAGTTAGTCTAAGAGAACTAACAGGTTACTAATGAATTTTTAGGCAATAGCTGTTTACTTTCTACTTATAACAAAAACAAAATGGCTCAGTGGTCTAAAGGTTAGGCGTTCGTGCGCGAGACCAATATGTCCTGGGTTCGAATCTCGCGAGGTGAGATCGTAAATGCGCATGGTGATCTAGCTTCAATAAACTCATGCTCTCAACTATTGAGATTACAAAACATTAGTTTTTTCATTTTTCATTTTTTTAATAAAGGTTGTTCTAAATTGACGTGATTCTTTTTTTAGATGGATGCATGTACAATATAAAATCCCGACGAAAAGATGAAAGTAAGTCTTTCGTGAATTAACTGAAGAATTATTTGTCATTGAACGTAGATTGTAATATAAAACCTATAAAAGAGGGGGGCTTTTCTAGATTAAGCAACAGTTTCTTTAGTTAATGTTACGACAAAAAAAATACAATATTTATTGAATGGTCGTTAGGATTTAACAATAGAAAGTAGTAGTATTGACTTTGAAAATTATAAAACGTTAGTCTGTGTCGTGTAAGATGGCTGAGATTTTCAAGTTATCAGAATTTCATGACTGAAATACACTAGTGAAATCACTTAAAACTGTATCATTTAAAGGAACTTTTCATTCAGAAACGAAATCCGAACAGTTTTATGAGTGATTTGAACATCGGTATTAAAAATAATAACATTTACATACCTAGTATGAAAAAAATGTTCCTTAATTGGTTGATATTCCAATAAGCCAATAATAGGGATTGATAAAAAAAGTGAATTAAGATTATTGTAAAATGTAAGTCTCCATACACTGCCTTCCACTTTTGGTAAACACTTTGCTGTGTAGATAGAATTTAATGCACAAGTAATGCTAGATGCAATACCAAACACTAATCCAATCCAACTTAAAGAACCTGAAAATGATTCGAAAAAAGAAAAGAGAACGTTTATCCAGGCTAGGAGCTTTCGTAAATAAAATATACAATAAAAGGCTTTTATAATTTCTAAGCTATTTTATGTATATTCTATCATTTAGTACCGATATCAAGAGAAATTTTCATTTAATCACTTACTCAATATATTAAAGAATGTAGGATATGATACACATGTGAATCAATTCAAGTTGACAGACATCACGTTAGTTGAATAATTATAGTAGCCCACTAAGCATCTATTTCATATTTATGCTAAAAACGTTAATCAATAATGTTCAGATTACCACATCTGCTCACCGAATTTAACAGTTTCATAACTTGGTTGATAGTTGACACAGAAACTTACTGAAGCTCTAGTTAGTTAACAAATAATCTCAGCAATAAAGAAATGACTGTTTGTTTCAGTTCGTCTGTATTTTTGCATAATCATCCAATAAAACGATATTGAAGGTACTGCCAATTAGGATCCAGGAAAGAGTGGTTTAATGGAGAAATTTCTTTCCAGAAAATTCATTCTCAAAGCAGTCTAATCGCAAATACATATTAATTTATCATAATTGTAACTTACATGTATGTTAATAACAACTTAAATTTCTTAATAAGAATGGAATTATTGTGCTTAGTTTATCTTATCCCTTTGCTAAAATTTTCAATAAATAACAGTTATTGTCAAAAACCAAATCGTAAATAATCCTTATGAAAAAAGTATATATTTGCAACTGTACAGCTCTGAGAATGAATTTTTCAGCAGGGATGTCTTCACAGAACAACATTTTCCTCTCGTACGCCTCAATATGTTTCCCGGTTGCTTTATTACAATTTAAATGATGGTTATTTTTTCGCAATATTAAAGTTTTATTTATAATCCCGGAACCGATAAGCCACTTGTAGTAAATTGAATAACCATAACTCGAAAGGCCAATTACTAATATTGACCAAGAAAATTAACTGCTTAATTTAGAGAAAGAAAATCTGGGGAACTTGAGATGTTGGACTCAAGTAACGTATGGCAAATAAAAAAGGGATTAGAGAAGTTCCAAAAAGGAAAACGAGAAAATTAAAGGTGAGCTAAAATAAGAGGAAAGGCACTACATATCTCCGTATCGTCTGAGTTTTGTTAGCTACTAGCATTTTACATCTATTCATAATGAATGAGTAGATGTTTTGCTAATCCATTTGGAGTTTCCGATCCTACTGGATTTAAAACAGTCTTATTTATGCTTACCAACAAATTGAACTTTCAGTTATTTGTGATATGGACTCCCCTACCCATTAAGTGGTTTTAAACCCAAGTTAATTAGTGATGTTAGGTAATTATGAAGTTAGTTTATTTATAGCTTGAAACATACTGGATAACTCCATACAGGACTGGTTAAAGCTTGAATTTACATAAACTTTGTACTATTTCAGTGAAGTTTGATACAAGGCCAAGACATAAATTCAAATAAAATACCACACCTAGAGAATAACAAATCTACCGACCGAAAAAAACGCACTAAAACGTACCTAAATTACCCTCAACAATTACTCCAGCACAATATCCAACAATTATGGCAGCACAACAAATCAATGCCTTTGCTGAAGTTTTCGTATTTAGCAGTAAATAAGTAAATATCTATTAGACGGAGAGAAGAAACGGGAAACTACCATTAACTGAAAAGAAAAGGTTCCAAGAAAATATTAACTGAAGTATTAGGACGTCTTGACTGAAGGATTTGTATTACATCGTCTATTAAAAACTATGTCATATCCCATAACCAAAGACCTATTTAATTAGTATCCACAACGAAAAAATGGATAACGGGAAAATGTAATTTATAACGTAACGATATCTGCAAAACACATTTAAAGATGTATTTCTGTTTAGTAAGCTTTCTATCATAGCTTAACAATGATAATATAGATTTTTAAATGAATCATACAATTTAGAACTTGTATTCGTGAATTCAATAGCAAGCACATTCATTTTAAGATGTTCGGTAGAAGTAATAACTGATCACGGAAATTAAGATAGTAGAGAGTGAATAAAGTTTTCATTAATGTACAGTCACGATGAAATGTTAGTTCAAATACAATAATTCCTTGTTCATTTTCTCAAGTTTGTGAAAATTTGTAGGTAATTTTTAGATAAGGATAGTGATTATTACTGTGGAAATTCTTGGAAAATAATTAAAAACCCTGCAAAGAAACAGGAGGTACGTAAGTAAAATATGCAACGACTTGAAAAGTTAGTCTATAAAAAACCGGATCCATTCGGATTCAGGCTATGTAGAGGGAGATAATTTGTCCTAACTACTAGATAATTCAGCTTACATGATAAGATGTGATTCAGGACTTCAATTTCAAGTTATAGACTCCTTAGTTTCTAATCAACTTATCTACTGTAGATACAGACTACTTGTTTGGGGTCAGCGTGACTAACGTAACCAATGGTTGGAGACTCTTGGTGACATGGCTCAGAATCGATCACAATGGCGTAGGTGTATACACTCTCTGTCTTCCCTTAAACTGTGAGACTTAAATTGCTTCATATCTTTCTTTCTACCAACTAATTCTTTCTTCCTGCACTATGTCCTTATACACAATCCTTCTTTTATATATTACTACCATTGAAGTAACTACTTCTATGAATTCGGTGTTTATCTTGTTGTGCTAATGAGGTGTGGCAACTTGGACCGACGCAAATATGTGCCTGGTCCTACGTTGTAGCTGACTGACCAACTAACCACTCTCATATGTTTTAGTCTCATCATCTCGAAACATTTACATATCTGAGTTAGACTCAGTATAAACATAATCAAAACAGAAAATATAGAGTTATTCAGCATGGATACAGATGGGACATTTCGTATACAACATGGTGATAAACAGCAATGTATAATAGCTCACGACTTTATAATAACAATAAATGAAAAACTTTATTGATATGCATACCTCAAAGCAATAGGATGTTTTCAACGAATCGTCTCTCAGGGTACGACTATTTAAAGTAGGTGTGATTGGTATACACCCACCACTAAGGCGATTTCTATTATTTGTAAGTCGATTACTTTATTCAAACATTATCTAAACTAGTGATAAGCAGAAACGTGGTCATGGACCCACAGATGGGATGAACAGTTATCTATATTAGCCCGTTAAATTGACAATCGAAAGAGACTACGTAAATGTTTATTTTTTTCCTGTTCGGCTTCGCTACATTGAGGCTGTTATTATTAATGGTAACATTTCCATGTTAAGCTACTTAAATAGTGCTTCCACTGCTTTATAAAAACCTATCCTGTGCATAATGAAAGCCATGATCATTAGTACTTATTATGGAGGAATACTTTAGACAAAGCCTGAATAAGTGTTATTTAGAACTTCCCAAGGATTAGATGAAAGTGCTTAAAACGACCAAAGATAAGAAACATGAACTGTAGTATGCTTTTGTAGTTTGAAGAAATAGATCAATAACAAAGAAAAATGTCACAAACCTTACTTATTTAAACATATCCTATGGAACCTAAGAGACTGTGTGTTGCTATTATTTACACGATACAAATCATTATTGTAACATTTGTTGTCGGTTTATCACAATCATTTACTATTTATATTTTCCTACAAAATGGTTACTCTTATTGATTATTAGAATTTCAGCACATTGGGAGCCAACTGACAGACACATTCCTTAGTACCATGGAAAGAATTAGTAATGACTTCGGAAACTTTCGAACAATTTGTGTAATGCTGCTATTTAGCACCAATACTGGAGTGACAATTAATTACTTAAGAAATCATCATATTCCAAGAATTTGTAGATCCCGAAAACTCTAATGCTAAAATGGAAACTAGGAACGTAACATATGATACAATTTAGTAAAAAGCTGAGTGCTAGAGAACAATCTTGACAAAAAGTAACTGGAAAACTTAAGTTTAAAAAAACACTGAATACTACACCGTCATCCTCCTAAATGTGTTAATTACGTTTCAAAGCTCTCACAACAGTTGATTAGAATGGACGAGGATTATTTGATCACAATAATATTTGGAGAAAGAAACAGAATTTTCAAACTTAGATTATCATAAGAGTATACAAATACTACAACAGTTCAGTAATTAGGCTCGGTTGATTAAACCTCGATCAGAAGCATTTTAATGATGTAATGAACACATTTCCGAATTAATTGCCGCTTACATTTAGCGCTATGAAACTACTCAATTTCCAAGTTTGATAAAGACAAATATTTGCCTTCATAGTTGACAAGTAGCTGGACTGTGACTTAAACACAGAACTGAATAAACAACAAAAATGAAATTAAACTGTCAATGAAAAAAGGTGTCAATCATTTGTTAGTGATACACAAATAACTTACAACATTGAAGATTGTAGTTAGTGATCGTGCTAAAAAATAAAACGAAACACTCAAGTACTTCAGGCATAGGTTGTTAAAGCAGACCATTGAAACAAATATTATAGACAGTGGCAAGATCTGAAAAATAATTTGTTAGTAACGTGTCGCCTACTTCAATCGACGTTTTAAAAGAAAAGTTCAACTGTGGAAACTTCACATGACTAGGTAACAGCATAGCTAGATACGATGTTAAATAACATAGAAATGCTGTAACTGCACATTGAAACCAAGTTATAAATATCGGTGCATTTAGCTGATTAAGTAATTTTTGTTTATTATTAACCAGTGATGTTGAGTACTTACCGATACAGACTTATCACTCAATAACCATTTGTTTATAAATACCAAGGAAATGGAAATAAACCTTAAAAGTATTTATTTTAATTATCATAATGGAAACACAACCTACCAATATGCAGAAACAACACAAATTATTTTTTTAATCATCCTTCTTTCCCTCTTTGGTAAGTACATAGATTCAACGTATCTAATGATGCTTTATTTACTAACTTTGTATCATTCACCTTTAAACACTAATAAGAGAACTAAAATAAAAATCATTATATGAAAAATAAAAATTAACAGGACAGCAGAACAGAAGGGGAGTAAATGAGTTAAAAGTTTTATATTAAAAAAATCAATTTGTTAGCAAACGACTATCACATTCAATTTTTATTATGTGCTGTCCAGGGATAACAACAGTGGTTAAATCTCTTAGCAAATTGTCGGATGCTGAATCAGGTGCCGGATACTCTGTACACGAACCCAATACAATATTTCCAACATTATCTGTGCACCAAAAGCTTCCAATATATCTTCGACCATCCGATACATGGACAGTAAGTTCTTGATCGCACAAACAATTCAAGAAGTCTTTAGCTTCATCTTTGGTTTTGAATGAAGGCTCACTGAGAGTCATAAGAAGCTAAGTTAAAGAAAAAATTAACCAATTATAGGAGGGCTGATTAAAGTTCTAAAATTGTGACGTCTGAAAAATAAAGCATTCTCAACAACAAATTAACGATGATATAATCTCAATCAACAAAAAGTCTTGAAAAATTGTTCATTGACCCTGATTGTAAGAACGAGGAAATAACAGGATGATAACGAAAGCTGAAGTATTGTTATTAACTGCAGTGGGAAACTAACGAGTATAATCTAAATTCATTACTTAGACACACAAATACTAGCACAAGGAGACATAAAATATATATGTTCAACACAAAGAATTCGGCTAGTGTGAAGGTTGAAATAATGCCCAAACGCCCGAACCGAAGCAGAAATGGATGGAATGTCGCTGCCAAAGAAACAACTGGATCACAACAAAAGTTGAAGTATTGTTATTAACTGCAGTGGAAGACTAACGAGTGCACTTGAAAGGAAACAAATGAAACAGAGGAATAGAAGCGTGGACTAATAGTTCCCGTCGAAACTTAAGGAGATATAACGAAAACAGTTTATGTGAGCCCATTTATGGAAAATTAAAGTAAAAACGAGAATGATTAGTCAAGGACGTAACTCTAGTAACGGAAAATGTATTGGAGAATAGGCGAGAATCTAATTTATGGACGACCTTTGAACGAATCTCAAGTGACCTTGGGAAATATTAGACAATCAGCGAACAGTCAGTATAGAGTAAAAATATGTTATACAAAACCAAGGAAATAAAGTGGATACACTTCTTATACGTGGTTCAAAAACTTGTCAAGGTTAGAATGAGGTTCAGAGGTTCTAAAATCGTAATGCATTCAGTACAGGAAATCATCCATACGGCTACAGAACAGTCGGCCTCTGGAGTCATGATAAAGTGTCAAATACTCTTTCAATCTCGACCACATAGCATCAATCCTACTTTATGGCAGTGAAACATGGCCGGTAAGAGTAGAGGATATCCGTAGGCTACTAGTATTTGATCATAGGTGTCTTCGAAACATTGCTCGTATATCATGGGACCATCGAGTAAGTAACACAGTTGTTAAGAAACGGGTACTAGGTAAGGATGGCAAATCAATTGATGAAGTAGTGAAACTTCATCAGTTGAGATGGCTGGGACACGGGTTACGTATGCCCAACGACCGACTGCCTCGACGTGCGATGTTCAGTGGTATAGGAGTAGGTTGGAAGAAAGCTAGGGGCGGCCAAACCAAAACATGGCACAAGTCCATGAAGTCATTGAAAAGTGGACTGAGCCATGTTGGTAGGTGTAGACTACCTGGTTGGGGACCGCGAGATGATAGCAACTGATGGTTAGAGACCCTAAATGACATGGCTCAAAATCGTTTGCAATGGCGCAGGTGCATTCACTCTCCGTGTTCTCCCAAATTCTAATCTTCTGAATTCTTCATGTCCCTTTTTTCCTCTTTCCAAATTTATTTCACTGGATTATACTCTTTAAATAAGATCTCCACACCCTAATCTTCCCGATTACTGCTTATACTCTTATTACCTCTACCACTACGGGATTTGAATCGACAACTGCATCTCTGTGCTAATGTGGTGTGGCAACTCGAACTGATGTACGTACGTACGAAGTTCTACGTTGTTACTGAATGACTGACATAGCTTCAATATTGTTTACGTGCACTCTGGTTGTTGAGTGCACAAAATGCTACTTGTGGACAACGACACGATGCACATGACCAAGCCTATGTAGGAACCTGTACGCTCTCCAAACATTCGTATATATTGTAGTACCTGGCTGCTGTCAGTGTTACTGGTGCCTTTATTATCCAGTTCGCAATAATTGTCGTAATTTGCCTTAGTTAGGAATTATAGATGGGGTTTTCATCACGAACCCACACCAGCTATATTGCCAGAAATTTATTTAGCCAAATGGATGAAAGGCTTTCACGTTAAAATCCGAGATCTATTATCTTATACCTGATTGATTCGTCCACAAATTATAGTCTTTCCGTTTTATTTGTTATAGCCGCTCGAATATCACGTTTTGTACAACATTCCCTGTGAACAGATCGTACGTTAGCATTAGGCACTGAATTTGGTGCCGTAGCCCTGAAATCTCTAAAACGCTTCTGATATGCTTGTCCATATATTAGAGTCCCGCCGACGAAGTTCACCATATCACACGGATTATTTTCCCGTTATCACTTATTTAGTTCGCTTGTTTGGACACCAAACTTGTAGCCCCTGTAAAAACCACGAAAACAACTATAGACATTTGAAGACTTCCATGCATAAAATGTAGTCTGTATGCAAAATGATTCGGTATTATCGAGGTCGCGGGAAACAAAACTACTTACTATTTATTGACTTTTAGGTAAATATTCTGAGTTTGGCTCATAATCTGAATAGCCACAACTCCAAGTTATTTATATACGATGCTTTTGGTTGCAACAAAGGCGATAGGTTTACTACCTGTTGGGTTCCCCTGATTTCATATATTTTCACTGAAAACTGAACATATAGGCTATTTTTACAATTATAATCGATACTATGTACAACCAAGATGATTCGAAATGCACAGCATGCCTAATTCGCAATAAACACTGTATAAACGTGATGGACTCACGACTCTATAATCGAGTACGCGAAAAGGCCTTGAGAAGATAAAGATCCCTCAATATTCAAAAATTCCTCATTTTGTGAAAAGAAACGCCAATAAAATATAAAATATTTTCAAGTAAACGTGAGTGATATGGATATGACTTTTTCGAATATTTAGACATACGTTTTAAATAAAAGGATTTTTTGACTTCGTTTCACATCCTGACTCAAGCGTTACTCACATTAAAAAAGCTATATCGAGAAGTGACCAATCTAAGCCAGTTAGCGGTCGTAGGAGGTGGGAAGCATGGCGTACCCGCTAGTGATCTGGTGCGAATGTGGGCCCGAGCACCTCCAGATAAGTGAGTTCACTAAAACTGATGCGGTTAGCATCAAATGTTGATGATTTACAGAGCTATTGATTTGGGGATTTATTTACGGCTATACTGGCACAGTCATCATTGTGATAGAACATTTTGTCAATTCTTAGGTCAAGATTGAGAATAAGCGAGACAAATAAGTTATCTAAACCGCCTAATATGAGGTAGACTACATTTTTCTTCTGCTCGGTTTGCAAGCAGCGGTAACGTTGATGCTTTTAACCACTTTGACAGCACAACTTTACACCTGATCTTAAACAATTTTACTCGATCCTATCTACAGTGTGAAAAAATTATTGCCCTCCTCACCCCAGAAGAATAAGTTGGAACGTATCCAACGACGAGGCACAAGTCAGATCTGGGACTCAAATTCAGACCCTATGAGGAGCGTCTTAAATCACTGGATCTCTATCCATCACAATGAAGTCATCTTAAACGTGACTCTCTGGTGAATTACAGCAACGTATACGCTTCCAGACATCCTCTTAAACACTTCCTTAATTTCAGTTACAACACAAACCTTAGAGGTAACACTGAAGATGACACAGGTATTCAGTGTTCGACAACGCTTCTACCAGTAACACCTTTCAATATTATCCGTAACCACCCAGAGAAATCAAAAGACAGAGTCGAGGAGATCGGAAGAGTGTATTTGGCGATAAACAAAATATCGGAATTCTCTGATCTAATCTGGCTAGCGATTGCGGTTGATGTTGAGCACGGCGTTACCACACGTGATCTGGTACGGATACCTGACTGATCACTTTCAGCTAGATGAGTCCACTAAAACATGTGGTCAGCATCCAATGTCGAAAAGTTACAGAGCTATTTATTTTAGGGATTTATTTACCTCTACAGATCACTCCTCCCTAGTGGGTTAGTGATGACTCTAAGACGTGGCCAGCCAGAAGTTTAAACACAGCGATTTTTGTCGTTGGTAAACCCTCTTCTAATAGCTTGCTAGAATTAGCAGCGTCTGGTCGTCTTTCCTTACTACATGGGACCGAGGTACAACATAGTAAACAAAGAAACAGTTACAACGAAAATTTCGACTCCTCGTAAACTGCATCATTCTTTTCTAGCCGTCCTGGAAAAGAAAAAAGAAAATGTAAGTGCATGTCGAAATACTCTCGTATGTGCGTAAAAACACAATGTCGGCGAAAAAATGGAACATAAACTCAAGCACACGTAATAGCGTTAAAAAAATTTTTGTTTGTTTGTTTTTAAATAAAAATATAAATATATAAACATATTAAAATTGTTTTGTTTTTTTAAAATATTATACATCGTAAAAAGAAAGATCGAGATAATATAAAATGTCGAGTAATGCCTTACGTACAGTATTCGTTTAAATGTTCTGGAAATCTTACTCTTCTTCCAGAACGCGTCGTCTTAAATTTATTTTCAGATACATTCGGAGTATCATCGCTAGTGTTGGTTGTTGGTTGAAGAATTATAAGTGTAGGAGTCGTGTTGTGCGATTGTACCGAAGGAAAGTCGACGTGAATAGGATCTCCTTCTAAATACGCTGCCTTTAAGCGATCGATGCTGATGCTATCGTTTGTTCCGTTCTTATTGACCATATAGTACTTAAATTCGTGTTGAAGAACTTTGAAAGGTCCTTCGTATACTGATTCGAATGGTCGTCGATGCGATTCTCGACGTACGAAAACACGTGTACTATATCGTAAGTCAGGTTGAACGAATACATCAGTTGAGGTCGAGTGGAAGCAGGTTTAACTGAACGCACTGCTTTTGTAGCCTGTTCGTGTAGTAGGTTAGATCCATGTTCATTGAAGAAGATGAAGGATCCACGAATTCTCCTGGAGGTCGAAGTGTCGTTCCATAAACGAGTTGAGCTGCAGTGTCTCCAATGTCAGCTTTCACTGCATTGCAGATACCTAGTAAGACGAGTGGAAGAGCGTCGGTCCACTGTGGAACGTCTGTAGCTGATAGTGAAACTTTTAGTTGTCGGTGAAAACGTTCTGCCAACCCGTTTGCTTGTGGATGGTAGGCGGTCGTTCGGAAGCGAGTGATTCATAAAAGTGTGGTCAAACGATGGAAAAGTTCAGATTCAAACTGACGTCTACGGTCTGTAGTGATGGTTGAAGGGCAGCCGAAGTTTGCTACCCATTGTTCGACGAAGGTGCGGGCCACTGTTTCAGTAGTGATGTCCTTGATAGGTACTGCTTCTGGCCACTGAGTGAAACGGTCTACGCAGGTTAAGAGATAAGAGTATCCATTTCAATCTGGTAAAAATTCTACCAAATCCAGAAGAACATGCTCGAGACGAGCATCGCGAGTGTGTCTGATAACCTTAGACTTTTGGCAGCTTACACAGGAGCGTGCCCATTCCCTCACATCTTTATTTATGCCAGGCCAGCAAAACCGTTCTGCTATAAGTTTGATGGCTGCACGAACACCTGGATGAGAAAGTTTGTGCAATGTGTTGAAGACATTGCGTCGATAACGTTTCGGCACGATTGGGCGATCCCTACCTGTAGATGTGTCAGAAAGTAAGGTTTCATTACCTGTTCCCATCTGTTTGATGCGTAGTTTAAGAGTTGTAGACGATAACTCGTGCTGAAGATCAGTGTCTTTTTTTTAAGCTCGGCGAGTTTAAGAAGGTCGATTCCGTGGAAACTGTTCAAGGACGTTATGAGAGGTAAGGCGTCTGCAACTACATTGTTTGCCCCAGAAATGTGTTGAATGTCTGAAGTAAACTGCGAAATGTAGTCCAGTTGTCGAGACCCACGAGGTGAGTATGTAGTGGCATTGGACAATAGCCACACAATCCACAATGCTGTGAACACGAGACTACTCAGAAAATAGATATTCAATACCTAACAATGGAGAAGGCGCGAACAAGGAATTGAATGGACTGTTGTTGATCGAGTGGCATGGCTCGGCCATGCAGGCGTGGTCTCTGCCGAATGTGACCTTATATCTTCTATTCATATTAAATATGTTGTTCTTTCTCTAGCCTAACCTTGTTCTACATCATGTATTTGGTAATTGATACGATACAGTGAGTTGGTGACAAATCTACAAATTTAGTATTAGGTCTTTTATTAGAGCAGTACTAATATCATAGTAGACCATAGTTCTACAAGTACTTGTCTGAAGGAGAGCTTAGAGAGAAGGTGAGCGGTTTATGGTCAGTGAAAAGAGTGAATTCACGACCTTCCATGTAGTGTTGAAAATAACGTACAGCACAATACATAGCTAGGAGTTCCCTACCGAATGTGCTGTACCTCGATTCGGTGTCTAGCAACCGTTTAGAGGAAAATCCCAAAGCTTGCCAGGAGTTGTTAACCCATTGTTGTAAAACTCCGGTTGCTGAGTCAGATGCGTCTGCTGCGATACTAATGGGTGCTTTGGTGTCCTGATGTGCGAGCATTGTTGCTTTAGCGATCACTTCCTTAACTGTGGAGAATGCTTTTCTTGCGGTGTCGTCCAAATAAATGGATTTCGCATTTCCACGAAGTTGGTCGGTAAGAGGTTTCATGAGTAAAGCGCATTTAGGTACGAATCGTCTATAGAAACTTACAAGGCCGTTAAACGTTCGTAGTTGCTTGACGGTGGTCGGTTCTGGGTAATCCAGAAATGCCGCCACTTTGGTCCTAAGGGGTCGAGTGCCTTGAGCATCGATAGTGTGTCCTAGGAAGTCTAATAAGTCGGTTTCGATTTGGCATTTCTGAACGTTTACAGTAATGCCATGTTTTGTATTCTTTCGAAAACAAGATCCAGATGCTTGTGATGTGTTTCTCTGTCCGGACTTGCGATTAGGCAGTCGCCAACATACGCATGTACGAAGTTGAGACCTCGAAAAACATCGTCTATAAATCTTTGGAATGTTTGAGCAGCGTTCCTTAGACCGAAAGGCATTCGCAAAAATTCATAGAGTCCGAAGGGAGTTATGATAGCTATTTTCGGTATGTCGTCAGTAGCCATAGGGATTTGGTTATACGCTTTAACCAGGTCAATTTTTGAAAAGACAGTTGTACCTTTCAAGGTAGCTGTCAAATCGTGAATGTGAGGCGACGGGTAACGATCGGGAATGGTTTTCGCGTTCAATCTCCGATAGTCACCAGTTGGACGCCAATCGTTGCTGTTCTTTTTAGGGACCATGTGCAACGGAGATGCATATGGGCTACTTGACGGTCGTATGATTCCTAGGTCAATCATATGGTCAAACTCGTTTTTTGCTAACCTTAGCATTTCGTGAGCTAATCGTCGTGCTTTAGAGAATACAGGTGTTCCTGTAGTCGTTATGTGATGTGTAACGTTGCTGGTTACACACGGCAGTTTTGGTTGCGTTTGTTGTATCCCAGGATACTTATCGAGAAGTGGCTGATAAAGTGGGTCTATCATATGCTTAATTGTGACTGGGGATAATCTGCAACCAGAGAAGGAAGTTACGCAAACGGACTAATTAGTGTTTCCGTCTACTAGTCTCCGTTTGCGAGTATCGATGATTAGATTATGGTGTTGTAGAAGGTCCATACCAATGATTGGCATAGAAACATCTGCAACAACGAAGATCCAGTGGATGGGTTTGCGTAAACCCACGTTAAGGTAAACGTACCTTTTGCCATACGTAGTGATAGGTTTTCCGTTTGCCGCCTGTAAGTTTAGGGCAGATTCTTGAAGCCGGTCGTTGGGATTTGCGGGGAGAACGCTAACTTCTGCGCCAGTGTCGACGAGGTAACG